TAAATACTTAAATGTTCAAACATATAAAAATTTGACATAAGTTTAGTTAAATGTCTTTCAATTATTTTGCAAATTCCAACTATTATGATCTTACTAATCAATTATGTATACTTCCATAGTTCTGTGCAATAAGTTTAGGACCACCTTATTTTTAATTATATTAAATAAAATTTTATTCTTATTTATATAAGTTTTTTTTAAAAAATTACATTGTAATTTCTTGAATAAATATAAATTATATTGATTTTTATAAATTATATAATACAAGATTTTTTTCTTAATGACGAATTTTTAACTTTTCAACCAGAGTGATTACAACAAAAATAAATACAAAATTTAAATAGTTAGGTAAAAATAAGATTATATTTCAAATTTCGTAAAGATTGAATTAGTAGTTATTGATCCTTAATTATCAATTTCTCGATAACTACTGACTCAATTTTCATGAAATTTGGAATATAATTTTATTGTTAGCTAAACTATTAGAATTTTGTATTCATTTTACTGTAACTGCTTTAGTTAAATAGTTAAAATTTTACTATTAAAAAAAAATTTTTTTTTATATGATTTATAAATGCAAATATGGTAATTTTTTATGTTTATTTAAAAAATTATAATACAAATTTTTTTATAAAAAAAAATAAATTATATAAATAAGAATTAAAACTTTATTAATATAATCGAAAATAAGGTGGTCCTAAACTTATTGCGTGGGAGTATATTCCTTTCTCTTAATTATCAAACTAATAACTCCAATAACATATTAATAATGTTATATATTTAATGCATGATATCAAATAGGGCAAATGAAATGATTTGCGACATTATATAAATCTTGATCCATATAACTGAAGGTCTTACAATTGCACATAATAGCAAACTGGAGCAAATTCCAATTATTCGAATTGGTCTCCAGAAATCACTATATAATACATTATCCTTATGGTCTATACATCACGTTATTTGATAGTAATATCGAACAATTCCCACAAAGAATATTAAAAACATGGGTAATAATACAGGCAACCAGGCCAAAGAATCAATGTAAACATCCATGAAAAAGAGTATAACATTACCCAAAAAATTTCCGAAAGATAAGAAGAAATGAATACTAAAATATGTTTTTAATTTTAAACTGTCTTCATTGAAGGGATCTTCCACGCCCATTTTATGTTTTATCTCAGAAACACATACTGCACAAATATTGATAAGTAAAGAAGGAATAGAAAATGTAGCATTGACAATGAGTAATTCCATAAATAAAAAATAATTGGTGGCATTGTATGCTATTATACAGAAATAAAATGTTAAAACTATCCCAAAGATTATAGTTATATATGATAAAATAATCAACCCGAAAAAAAAGCACCCCTGTCCTCCTTCTTCTTCTTCTTCTTCATTATGCAGTGCTGCTAAAGAAGTACCACGTAAATTTTCCACTTCCATTTTCAGTTGTTTCAGTTCTTGCATTCGTTTTCTCTTTGAACGTTCTACATTAATACATAGGACAATTGGTATTATAATAGAGAATAACAAATCAAAAACTGTTTGGAAAATCGCATTATTATTATTATTATTATTATTATTTCTTATTAATAAATTTGTAGAATCCATGATAATTGAAATAATTGAAAATGATTCTAAGAACATGAAGTTGAATTCTTGACTCTATTTATAATAAGTAATCATATATGCTGACTTAACTCACGGGATCATAGAATCATACGACAGATAGATTAGACTGGTCTAATCATACCATCCAGGTGAAGTGATTATTGTTTATGTCACGGTCTAATCATGCCATCCAGGTGAAGTGATCATTGCTTACGTCACGAGCGTGTTATTGTTTATGACACAACTGCGTAAGACTGTAGCTAATCGAAGGACATTTCTATAGTTCTAGAATAACAAATACAATCGTTGTACGTATGTACAACAATAGACATAAAGATAAAGACATAAAAAAAATATAATTATGATGTCACAGGATTTGGCACTTTTGTTTTTATGATCATGTCTACAGAAAATGAGCACCCAATAAATCATAAGTACACCTATAACACTAAAAAGGTCATATATTGTTCTAGCCTTCTTCATTTTATCCTTTACTGTGGGTCTAGCAATATGCATATTGATTATAACTATATTATTATACAAGATGTCAATTTAGATATTATTAAATAATCTATACAAAGTTGTAATGAACTATATAAAACTTATTCAAAAATGTTGTGTATTCTTTAAATTGATCAAAATATAGTTAAAGTACCAGCTGGTAAATATCTCAGAACCTCTATATTTAGCTTATATCGTGCCCTCTCTTCTGACCTTTCTCTATTAATTCATTGAGACGAATGATTACTGCTAAGCCAAATTCGTAATAGCAATAGATGGCATGGGAACCCGCCTTGCCAACTTTTCGAGATAATTTGCTAGAAGCTCCGAGGGCTGATCCTGAGGGATTGCTTCTGATGAATTGTTATCAATATCCATTACTTCAGTTGGCACCTCACGTATAAAAGCTAACTATATATCTTTCTTCTCTACTCATATTTTTAAAACCAAGTTGTTCAAGCTGTTCTATAATGTCACTCTATGGCCAAAACTCATTAGAAGTAATGTAGGCAAAAAAAAAGGTCCATGTTAACCTATTTATTATTACGGTGCCATGGTAAGGGTTGAATTGATAAGCCGGGCAAGAAAATAAGTTAGCATACCATATCATATGATAATCGTGAAGATTCTTCTCACTTCCAACCAATAGAAGCAGGATTCACGGCTAATAATGTGATATTTATCATTATGATCTATTGCGTTATATAATAAATAAGCGATTAGCAAAAAAATAATTTTCTCTTTTTTATTTATGATCGGTTATTAGTCCGAAGTGTAACGAATGTTGTCCGTCCGGCACGGGATGATGTATAATGATAACACGGTTTAGTTATTACAGTTGATACATGTTATGTCATATGACAACCGTGAAGACTCTTCTCACTTCCAGCCAATAGAAATATGATATTACAATATCTTATGCGCATTTTAGGTGATCGACCGCCTATAGTAATTTTATAGTAACTATATTAAATGCAAAAATACCCCATGTTTAAAGTGAGATAATCAATATGATTCTATAAAAAAAAATTATCCCCCGAAAACAACAAAATCCGAAACTATACAAATCTATAATTTTTGTTGAAGTTTATCTTTCAAAAAATAGGATCAGCTATTTTGGAATACCTCAAAATTATATAAAAGTTTATTAAATACTTGAAAATAATACACAACAAAAGAAGAAAACGCTATTTTAAATGTTTTTAAGCAAAAAAAATTTATAACTTTTCTCAAAAGAAAAGTCTGTAATTTCTAACTTTCTATCGTCAAGTAATAAAAACATATAAAAATAAGGAAGAAATTAACCAGTGGCTCAATTTTGATGAAAAACTTCGCCTATATAGAGCATACGAATAAACTTAACTTCTGGGATCAGCATGATTGACAATTTTAAATGATGGTGAAATAGCACGTGATATTACATGTCGAACAAGCTAATACATAGTGAACGAAAAAAAGAATAAAATAGGCAATCAAGATGATCACAGATAAATACTATAAATACTTTCCGATTAAGCTCACAAGTGTCTTCCAAAATCAGAAATACTTAGATATAATTGGTAATTCTTGTTACATTACTATAGATTATCCCCATCTAATATTTACACAAATTTTTAATATAAATGATAATGATTGTATTAATTAATTGTCCGATAATTAAAACTTTAAAAAAAAAGTATTTATCAGATAACCAAAATTATTTAACCGGTTTAAGTCGGCTAAGAGCGTTCCGCAACATATAAAATTTTTTGTGACAATGTTTTTCTTTTAAACGCAAACTTAATAGTGATTTGAAATTCTTTTTTTTTTTTTTCTCTCTCTCTCAAAATTTGCTTGTAGTACCGGGATGGATGATAGATAATTTATTTCTGAAACGATGCAGGAGCTGACAAATTTCGGAAGAAGACAATATAATAATAATAATAATAACATAATAATATAACATGGGTTGGTAATCCATAACCAATGAGATATACCTGAAATGAAACAAGTATGAAGATTTTGTGCTACGCCACGCGCAGCAACCGTTTATCAAAAGTTCAAAAACTTATTACGATCGCGAGACTAAACTTGAATTTATTAAAAATATAATTACACATGTGCACTTAAACATTTATATTCTCATTAAAAAAATCTTGCTTTCATTAACATATTCTGAAACAAAGGAGGTTTCTTAATATATAATGGATATACAAAACAAACAATAAATAAAGTCAAGTATGATGCAAAAGATGCATATGTTGAAATTCTTTTTAATATTTTTTTAAGAGAATACAACAATTTAGACTCGGTAAAAACGGGGGTTAAATAAGGAAGATAGAAATCTTCTATTTATTAATAATTCTTAAATTCGATCACACAAAATTTAAATCCGAGCAATTTCTATCGACAACGTACATCAAAATAAAAACCCACATGACTAACGTTGTGTCATCCATAAATTAAATATTTGATCCTAAAATAGAACTAATCAAATTACATAAAATATTTCTTACATAATTTTCGTACGCATAATAACTATTAAATATTCCCCCTAGATAAGTAAATTTAAAGGATCCATGCAATACTGCACGACATAATTGAGTCAATGTAAATCATTCGGATTTTCTAATTTAGTATCTAACTTTATAAATTTTATATGTAATAAAGTTAAACCTTATCATATAGTTTAAAGAAGCTTTTTAATATATTATAACATAAAATTTGTTTATTTTTAATTTACCTATTTTCGCTAAATAATGATTTTGTGAGACTTTAAAGCTTTAAAGCTGTCTCTTATACACATCTAGATGTGTATAAGAGACAGCTATAAATCAATATCACAAGTTTTAAAAGTATTCGTTATTATTCGCGGAATGAAACCTTCCGATTTTATTTATTTATTTATTTTTATTTTTTTTTTTACCGAAGAAATAAAAAATTCATCATCATTCATCTCAACAATTTCAATCAATAATTGTTTTCGCTACCGTGTAGCGAAAATATATCCTTCTTCCTCACTCTTCCTCCTTTTTCCCTTCTTCCCTCTCCAATTTTTTCTCGCTATCACATAATCACACATGAAATTAAATTCTCCTTTCACAATAGCTTGTAAAAATGACTCTTCATTACAAATTTGCTCTTGTGATTTCCGAGTAAATATACATGATTGTCCAGAATCACATATATTAATAATATCAAATTGGCTAGTATTTTCATATTGCGGTCTATTAACTATAACGGCTGCAACAAGTCTATGGTATTTAATTAAAAAGAAAGACCAAGCTTTTTTTCTTCCTTCCAGAAGAGATAGAGGAAAAATAAAACCAAGACCGCAACATACTTATTTTACAATGTGTTTGGCTTATTGTCCATGTAAGTTGTGGCGCAGCATGAATTATGTATGATTTTTTTTTTTTTTTTACTAATAAAACTCATTAACATATTTTTATAGTTCAAATGATTCATTCGATATTATTATTAACTGATTCTTATCCAAATATAATGTGGGCAGAAATTGGACATACTTTACCTATAGTATTAACTACAATGGTTGCAATATTATATCCATTGAGTATTTGTAAGTAATAATTATTTTCAGAATTTCTTTATATATATATATATTTAACTTTAAAATTTCTTTAATATTTAGTATATTCAATATCAGCATTTGAAGTTGGAACCAATTTACGTCCAATATCAATGTCAAGTATACTATCTGAAGTGCCTATAACAAGAAATGCCATAAAGACTGACTTGGCCTGTATTTTTATGATTATAATAACTTTTTGTCTTTTCGTGTTGGCGGCAGCTTTAACAGGTTATTACGCTGATATAAATGATCTTACAAATGCAAATAAGTTATTTTTAATACAGAATTTTGTATGGGCAATTTGGGGATTTTTCTACATAATAGCAATGTTATGGTTTTGGTTTAGATTTATAAATATTGTATTGGAGAACATTAATGATTTAACAAATCAACATCAAACTCAAAATTCTGAATTACAAAATAAGCTTGAACAATTAAGAAAAGGTACCCGTAATGTAAGTTTTAAATATTTTCTTTTTTTTTTTGTTCGAAAATTATCAAAAAAAAAAAAAAAAAAAAAAA